TTCATTTCTACTTTACTTTTGCTATGCATAATCTCCTTCCCCAAATTACGTGCATGAGCTTCATTTGGTGCTAAAGTCAACTCACTTTTCCCTAAGGTCACCTGAGAAGCCGGATTATCAGCCAACACAGGCTTCCCTTTCCTCTGCATGTCATCCAAAGAACCCGAGTGAACTGTGGGGCTTGGTTCTTCAACTTTGACTCTAATGAGATTATCATTGCCTCGGGCCACATTAACATTTGTAACATCAGACCTTCCTCTTCTATAATCAGATTCAGAATACTTTGTTGTATCAGAAAATCCAGAACTGGTGACACTAGCATATGAAAGAGTCGACCCTTGAGATGGGCTAGATTGTTCCTTCTGTAGTGAATCATTTTTTGCAGGAAAGGAAGATGATTCTTCTGTTCTAGGAAACAAAGTTGGTTCTTCAGAAGGAGGTGAAGGAGGCCTCATTATAGGAAACCTCCTTTTCTTGATTGGAACACCTGCAACATAATCACTAGATTTCCGGATAACGGGTTTAACCCCAGTCTGCCAATAGAAGATTTAATTGATCAATATTCAGAAAAACAATAAATTCGAACGAGACTCTAATCTCAGCTAGCAGTAATTTGGAAAATGAAATAAACACCTCTTCATTTCCTGATACAGGCATGACTCCAAGATTTCGCAAGCTTATTATTACCCTTCTTTCTGTCTATAAATAAAATTCAATAGCATTTAGCAGGACCTCGATGTGATTCTGAAGTCAATTTCAACAACTGCACTACGATATATGCAGGTAAACTTCTATTTTCTATAAACCAAATTCAGTTAGCTACAAAGACCACGCGGTTTCTCTGAATCTTCTAGCTATCACACTCAACCAATTTGAAGCTCCTGCACACAAGAAAAAGTTAAGGACCTTAACAAGAGAACCCAAAACAATTACAATGAACTCCAAGATAAAAATTCTCAGTCGACGACATAAACTAATCAGGAAAATATGATATAGACTACTGTAACAATTAACACATATCTGAAGACAAGTAAAGAACACATCATGGCTGATCGGTTAATCGAAACAATAAAAAAATTATTTTATTAAATTTTTCCTTGACTAAGTCCCAGATTAAAAGCACAGAAGCAATCATCCAAGATGAACATATAAACTGAATTGGAACATAACATAATATTCAATCAATTCTCCAACTGTAAGGTCATTTTCAGGTATAATTAAGAAACTAAGCAACCATGTGGACACCAATTAAATCCTCAATCAAGCCCACAAAATACAATCAATTCCCAAAGCCTAAACAGAAAAGCAGACCGTTTTTGGGCAGTTTATGTTGTAATAAATGAACCCACGAAACCAAATCCAGGAGGTTTAAAACGTTCCAAGCAAAAAATAAAAAAAGGAACTTCGGATGATCCATTAAAAAGAAAGTTTTCTGCTTCACAAGTAAACATTTTTACAATCCACAAACGCTAAAAAACCAGCAGTTGCCAAAAACACACCGATGAATCCGACGGCGATGAAACCAATCAGATCTAGTTAAATCGACGGAAACAAAACACAATTTGTGAAATTGAAAACACTCCAGAAGATTCCAGGAAATACCTGAAATCAAAATCATAGACGCGTTGACGAAAGTCGAAAAATGAAATCAGAGCAAGAGAACACAAAGATCGCAGAAGAAGAGGAATAAGGAGAAGGAATTTGGAGTTTGGTCAAGCTCTGAAACTTCTAGGAAATTGAGGAGGGAGGCGGTTGTTGATTGAAGAAGAAAAGAAGGGAGATAAAAAGAGAGAATCTAATCTAATCCAAGGAGGTGTGGTTCCCACTGTTCCCTAAATTGTCAGCCTTAGGGTTTGTGATTGTGCTTTTCTTCTATAATTGCGGTCTGAGTTTCCATTCAAATTTATTTTTTATTTATTTTTTCCATGGACTACTAGGTCGGACGACCTCACTCTCTCTCATCTCGCCCTACTCGCTTGACACGTGTACCATTTACTCTCGCAACTCGCATCGTATGATGCATCCATCGAATCTTACTTTGACGTGTTGCGCAACTTCCCCACCCTTTCCTCCAAGCAAAGGTTCGTCAAGAGCTTCCACTTTTTTATTTTTTATGTTTTCCGTTTTTACGTTATAGAACTCTTTTGCTCTCACCCAAAGGGAAAGGAAAAAACTTCTTTTTATGGGGGGAAAAAAAAAGACTAATGAGGAAAACGCTGTGAAAAACCCACTAGGAAATTCAGTTTTCACACTCTGGAAAAATACCAAACTTCTATTTTAAGATTCCTTTGTAATAGCTTTTTTCGGTCACACACAATAGTGCATAGGGGTTTCAAATCTGAGACTACTGTTTTAAATCAAACATATTTTTTCAGTATGGTACGACCCAATTGGCAATTCCTTTGTAATAGTTGGGTATTTACAAATGTTTTACGCTCGTCTTTTATTATGAAACATTTATGTATTTTTTTTAAATCTTATAAAAATTATTTTTTCCATATAAGCAATTAAAGAAGAGGATTTACACAATTATTCATAAGATTTCGAATATCTCCCCACATAAATAATACTAGAAGAATTTAACCAATTGAGTTATACAATACTGGGTTAAAAACCTTGTTTTTAGAAGTTCCATAAAGTGTTACTTGTAAGCTCATTGTTTTCTGGTTACCTACACTCAATCCAAATATATGGAGCTTTTATTTCACTTTTCATCAACTGAGGAAATTGGAGCCAATGACGTTCTACCAAACTTGGAGGAAAATGCCACCCAAAACAACCAAACCCAACCAAGTCATGGTCACACCAGATTAATTCAAACATCCAATTCTTTAAAATTAAAAAAAAATCCCATAGTTTAATAAATACTCATTTGTCCATATTAGTAAATAAATATTTGAAAAAGTCAATTAAAAATACAAGCTCCGTTAAAAACAAGATTAAAACTGGGACCCAATACTTCAATTATTCATCGAACAAATCAAATTCCAATTTTAAAACCAACCCCCCCTACAAGTTGCCATCACAATCAGCTGTCACATTGCAACCATACGAATATTTTTTAAAAAAAATTTAACTCTAGCAGACCAAAGATAATATAACAAAATGTTATCAAAAAAATATAGAAATAGTAGAAAGTAGAAGAGGCCCATGTCCTGCAACTTGAAATGAATCCACAAGACCATAGACCCATTACCACTTCAACTACGCATGAACCTTTCATTCAAATAAGATCTCTGGGCTAAAAGACCATCAGGCCCATAACATACAAAAAAAGGTGAGAATTAATATCTTTGGCCCATTACAAAAGTAAAGTAAAAACAACTCAATCACCAAATCACACATCAATTTTGGATCAAACACCATCATTTCATTCAACTTCAGTTGCAATTCCACAAACACATAGAAACTCAGTCCATCAATCACTTTACACAGCACATAGCAACAAGAACCCTAAACCAATTTTAGCTCCTAAGAAATGCAAAAACTACCTAATTAACATCAACTAAACCGAACCAACAATCCCATTTCTTGACAGCAAGACTTTAAGAATCGTAAATCCCTAGCCACCGAAACCGTAGAGGGTCCTGCCCTGCCTCTTCAGGGCGTAGACCACGTCCATGGCCGTCACCGTCTTGCGGCGAGCGTGCTCCGTGTAGGTCACGGCGTCTCTGATCACGTTCTCGAGGAAGATCTTGAGCACGCCACGTGTCTCCTCGTAGATCAGACCGCTGATACGCTTCACACCTCCTCTGCGAGCCAAACGACGAATGGCCGGCTTGGTGATGCCCTGGATGTTATCACGAAGGACCTTACGGTGCCGTTTGGCTCCTCCCTTTCCCAGACCCTTGCCTCCTTTGCCACGCCCAGACATTTTGATTCAAGCTGAGATTTCTGAGGAAAATGAAAGATTAAGCTTATTAGCGATGAACAAACCCCAGATTAACATACTTGATTAGAAAACACACTTCATATGTGGGTATTAAAGAAAATTTGTGAGAAAATTAAATGCCCAAATAGATTAAAGAGGTTGGAAGTTCAAATTTTTAACAGAAAAATTGAGATCTCGTCGAATTTTTAGATACTTTCTTTCCGCACATTTTCTCGGTAACCAAACAAAAATCGCAGACTAGAAATCTAAACAGAACCACGAATGATACAACTACAGTGAATGAACAACATAGTAACCATAAACTAATTAAAACCACACTGCCAAAATCAAAGTTGAACTCGATAAAACAATGATAATCTCTAAGAAAATTGTCCTTTCAAAACCCTAAATTCCATTTCAATCAAATCTACGATCAGCGAGAAGAAAGAAAGCTCAGGGAAATCTACAACAATCAAATTCAAAACCCTCCGTAAAAATAAAAAGAAAGAAAGCTCAGGGAAATCTAAATGACAATGAAAGCGAGAAGAAGACGAACCTCAATTTCAAACTGTTCAATGACCTCGATGCTCAAACGGAAAAGCGACGCACAAAGAGATATTGATTGGAAGAAAAGGATCTGAGGTTAGTACTTATATAGCGATGCCTTGACGAAGGCTTCTCAGGATCAGACGACGATCCAGTGGCTCAGATGGTAGAAGATTCACCAAACGGACGGCTAATATTCTATGTTTCCATTCCACTCGGATCGGTGACGTGGCAACTAAATCGAGCGGGACTTTTATGTTGGTTTGCGAACGAAACATTTTTCCGCCTTTTTTTTTCCATCTCATTTGCCGCTTTGCCCAAAACTTCCGGCTTCGCTTCAAATTTCATACAATTTATGAATTTACCGGGTAATATTTCTGAGTCTTTTTTCACCCCCTTTGTACTTTGCTCCTATTGGTTAGTGACATGGGTAGTAAATATTGCTTGCATTCTATATTTTTGTGAAGTTCTTTCTTTATTTATTTTAAGGTCAGGTCATGTTTATACTAGCGTAAAAAGGTAAGTATATATCATTAAAAATACTTTTAATCATGTGATAAAATATGGATATTGTTATTTTATTTTTTATATAAGTGATAATCTATTCTAAATTCATTTATCTATAAACAGAGAGTTGAACATAAGTGCAATAGAGTTGGTTAACTGCCTTAATCCTCGTTAAAATATTGTTATCTTAAGTATATGCATACAAACTAATATTTAGTTTTAGTAGATTTATATTACTTTATGAGTAACTTTGTTACAATAACGAATTACGATCCTCATTTACGAGTTAATCCAAGTGCAATAACGAATTATGATCCTCAAAGTCATATATGTTGATGCCACTTCTTCATTTTTGTGTTCTTAAGCCTTTCGATGTGCCCGAAGGATATATAAGTAATCATAACGGTTCTAATTATCACCTCCCCTCACAACTTGTATGTCATTAATTTGTAAGGCCACAAGCTGTATTTTCACCAACTAGCACTTGATATGATGGTAAGAAACATGTGAAAAGATTTGCAACAAATTTAGACAATGCTGTTTCTTTTAATATTTTGACAGTTTTTCTAAATGCAAACAATTTGGTATGTTATATACGTTGCCAACACCGTTAATTTAGACTGCTGATCACGAATGGCAAACGCTAGTGGGTTCATCCTCTAATCTCAGCCTCAGGGAATGCAAAGGTGTCCCAGAAAACAAAACAGACGATTTTGTATTAGTGAAGAAGTTGAAACAATTTGAACTTCGAGCAAGTAACCAAAAACCACTCAATCACCAAACCACACATCAATTTTGGATCAAACACCATCATTTCATTCAATTTAAGTTGCAATTACACAAACACAGTCCACTAATCACTTTACACAGCACATAACAAGAACACTAAAAAAATTTAACTCCTAAACAAAGTAAAACTACCTAATTGTCAACTAGATCCAAAACACAACTCCATTTCTTGACAGCAAGACTTTAAGAATCAGAAAGCCCTAGCCACCGAAACCGTAGAGGGTCCTGCCCTGCCTCTTGAGTGCGTAGACCACGTCCATTGCCGTCACCGTCTTGCGGCGAGCGTGCTCGGTGTAGGTCACAGCGTCTCTGATCACGTTCTCGAGAAAGATCTTGAGCACGCCACGTGTCTCCTCGTAGATCAGACCGCTGATACGCTTCACACCTCCTCTGCGAGCCAAACGACGAATGGCCGGCTTGGTGATGCCCTGGATGTTATCGCGAAGGACCTTACGATGCCGTTTGGCTCCTCCCTTTCCCAAACCCTTGCCTCCCTTACCGCGCCCAGACATTTCGATTCAAGCTGAAATTTCTGAGGAAAAGGAAAGATTAAGCTCGTTATATGCCGGAATTAATAAATTTTGTTGGGGAAAACTAGTGAAGAAATCCCATTCAAACCCTAAATTTCATTTCAATCAAATCTACAATAAGCCTAAAGTCTGCAAAAATCAAATGACAAAACCAGATAAGGGAAAGCAAAATGGCATTGAAATGAAGAAGACGACGAACCTGAATTCGAAGCTGTTCAACGACCTCGAGGCTCAATTGGAAAAGCGACACTCGTAGATAGATTGGTTGCAAGAAAAGGATCTGAGGCTAGTACTTATAGTGATGCCCTGACGAAGGCTTGCTCAAGGTCAGGGGAGGATCCATAGGCTCAGACATGGTCGAGGATTCATCAAACGGGCGGCTGATATTCTTTGTTTCGATTCCACTCGGATCGATGACGTGGCAAATAAAACGAAGGGATGTTAGTTTGCGATCGAAAAATCTTTCCGCCTGTTTTTTACATATTATTTGCCGCTTTGCCCAAAAACTTCCGCGGTTCCGCCGTTTGCTTCAAAGTTAAAACCCAATGTACCCCTTCTGAAAAAAAAAAAACACAAACAAAAACTAATTGGCCCAAAAAAATATATATATATTGGAGCTAATTTTTCCATTTCTCTTTTGTCCACTCACACTCCTTTTTGGTTTTTTTAACTACTTTAAAATTATCATTAAAATAGAGTGTAAGTAGATAAAAGAGAATTAAAAAAATCAACACCTTTTTATGAATTTATCAGGCAATGTTTCCTGATCTCTTGTTTGAGGGAGCTTTACTCATCCATCATTATTCAATTATTCAATTTTATGCTCAACCATAATACCGGTCATCTATGTAACTTGCTCTTAAAAAATGATTTGTAATCAAGGGGTTTGGAGCTCAAGTAACGCATCTGAGGTCTTGGGGTTGATTCCCCATCTCTATATATCACTTGTATAAATAAATAAATATATATATATAAACCTATCTTATAAAGGAATGGTGCCTAAAAGCTCTTAAACCACTATAGGATAGAGGTGGGTATTGCATTCAAATTATCAGTGTACTGACGGTTTGGTTAAATAATTTTTATTTATTTATAATTATTTCAATCGGATCTGTACCGAAACATTTGGTTAGAATGTTGAATAACAATACCCAACGAAAATGCAAACCGAACCAAATTCATAATTATATTATTATTTAAATACTAATATACACATATCAACTCATTAGCCATGAATATGTACAAACTCGGCGGTTTTAAGGGGAAACTTAAGTCCATTATTTGGGGGGAAATGACGTATGTGTATGAAGAAGATTGTCCATGCTGCTCCTCCATATATATTAGTCTTACCTTCTTCATTGCATCACCAAATAGGGCAATAAAGGATGCGCATAACAAGAATATAAAAAATGTAGCCAGCAATAGAAAAGTCCTACATCGATTACTTAAGAAAACCTCCATTGTTTTCTCCTTTATAAAAAGCTTAGTTGGGCTTGACATATATGTGGGAGCATATATTTCAGCATTCAATGAGCGGGTGATACGTGGAAAAGGGAAATTTTGTATGTCAATTAATTATCCTAATTAAATAATATTTAATTAGGGGAATTATAATTGATTTAATATAGGACTATCTTCATAAATCAATGTGAGATTTCCACTAAATCTCTTTGATTAATTCCAATCTCCTATTTTCGGGTAAGAATAATCCTAATTAAATAAGAATTATTCTTCAAACCCTAGTTGACAGGGAGCATTATAAATACATGGCTACATCACACATATGAGTTATGAGGTCTCTCTCTCTCTCTCTCTCTCTCTCATGGCTTTAACCACCTGATTCAAGGTCCAATCGAAATAACTTAGGTCCAACAAATTTTTTATTTTTTGATCTTAAAAATTCACAAACGACCCAATTTCATGCAAAGAGGTATGATTGGCCTTAGAAAAAAAAAAAAGGTATTTTAAAGTTGGACTTGAGAAAATATTAGTTATGAGATTATAGCATTGAACTTAAATAACTTTAAAAAAATAAAAAATACATAATCGGTCTGATCCGATTTTGTAAGGTGTGACACCGACACTAGAATCAATTTGGACCAATTCATTTCGGTATGTTATTGGTTTGTTGACTTTGTAGTCAACACGATTTTTTTTTGGTTCTGGCTCGTTGTTCCTTTTTTCAGTCTCAATGCCCACCCCTAGGCCAATATAGCGCCAACACTCTACATAACCGAAAACGACGACGTTCAGACGCAATGCTGCTGAGTGCTCGAAAAATTAGCAAACACTGGTGTCCTTGTCGTCCAAATCTTAGCCTCTCCCATACTCCAAGCACCAAGCCCAACTCCCACATTTCATCTTCATTGCATTCTCTCTGTCAGGTCAAGGAATTGGACAACCTCTTGCCGTGGTTGGAGAGCAAGGCCGGCGTTGAGATATCGATGGTGCTTTCGATTAGGAAATCAGCATACGGAAGGTCTCTGTTTGCTTCGAATACCATAAGAGCTGGAGATTGCATATTGAAGGTTTCATTCAATGCGGTATGTGGTGCTGTTTGATCTTAACACCAAAATCATTAAGACTCTAATAACATAATTAAGTATCAATTTATGGTTAATGAGTTTAGTTAATTGAAATTGCAGCAGCTAACTCCGGATAATCTCAATCCTGAACTGAAAGCTTTGCTAAGTGATGATGTTGGCGATGTTGCCAAGCTCGCTATTGTCGGTTTGCTTGAGCAAAAAATGGGCTAGTATGTATAAGGTACATCACCCCCTCTCTGTTGGTCGATGTAAGATGTTACAATTCACCCCCTAGGGGCCCAACGTCCTTGTCAGCACACTCGCACCACACGGCAGAGTGATTTTGATACCAAATTGTCACATATCGGGATCGGCTCTGCCGTAACACGATATTGTCCACTTTGGGCCCCCTCTCTCGGAGTTCCTAGAAGTTAGTGAGCTTCCAAAAGGCCTCGTGCTAGATGGAGGCGGGCATGTACATATAAAGCACATCACCTCCTCTCCATTGGTCGATGTGAGATGTTACAAATTTCTTAAGTCAATCAGTTATCCAAATTATTTAATTAGGGGAATTATAATTGATTTAATATAGGAATATCTCCTTAAATCAAGGATGAGATTTCCACCGAATCTCCTTGATTAATTTCAATCTCCTTTTTTTTGGTAAGAATATCCTAATTAATTATTATTATTCTTCAAACCCTAACTAACAAGGAGCACTATAAATATATGGAATCTCTCTCTCTCTCTCTCTCTCTCTCTCTCTCTCTCTCT